CAGGCTGAAAATTACAGCAGCCTTGAACTTGCTCTAATTAACACTATGGCATGAACAGGACACTGACCAGCACCAGTATGATGGAGCTACAAGGGTTGCATGAATGCCTCGAGCCAAAGAACAGAGTTATGAGAAAAGGGCATTTCCCCAACCTTCCCTGCATTAGAATGCTAACATCCCACACAATTGATCTTCAATATTAGGCCCAAACCCTTCTCCAAGAAAAGCTACAATAAGTCTAATTGTAAATCATCATTAAGCAAACAGCCACACAGTAGTCATCTCCTAGCTGGAAGACAGCAATTAGATGCATAGACAGATTAAAATGTACATCGCATGTCATTTTACACAGAGCTCCAGCTCAGCAAGACTGTTTTCAGCCTCATATTTTTACAGTTTTATTGCCTGATCTTCAAAAGTACTGACTTCCCACAATTCCTATTAACCCCAATAGAAGTTGTGGGAGCTCAATATTTCCAAGGAATCACTGAGACTCTTTGAAAACCTCGTTCTAAATACCGAGGCAGAATTCTCTTCCAATCAAAAGGAAGAAATACTAATGTTAAGCCCATTCCTCATAGTTTTTAGTTAGCATGCAATTGCTAAGAAATATTCACATTCTTCGGTACAGAAACTTACACATATTTGATCACTCAAGAATCCTTTGTGTACTAGTGATCTTAGGAAGCATGTTTGCAAAGTTATCACAAATGCATATGTCAAATCAGTGCATATTTGTCAAGCCACACAGATCCTTTTGAAATATACCTATAATATTCTATTTCTACATACTATAGTGTACGATAACATGCAAATGGTTAGTTGTTTTCCTTGGGTACACATTTGTGCATAAATCTTGAGGAAAAGAATCTGTGAGATAGCATGACCACTGTCTTAAAAAAACCCATGAAGTTGGAATTGTAAATCCAAGTCCTTTGATGCAAAATCTGATTCAGTCTTCTCTAGCATAACTAGTAATAAGAGACAAATAGCCAAGACAGAAATCTTGTTGGTTCTAAGTATGTATTAATAAAATTAAGCACACACACAAATGCTTTGTTGCCTAAGCTAGTGCTGTGCCCTTCCTAGGCCCAAAAAGAGAACAGCACCATGGGAATGCTAATCCCCCAAATTACCACAGAGTGATGCAAAGTGATGCCAAATAACCCTATTTATTCATAAAGATACAAGGTGTTAAATAGACCTTTATAATGGAATCTTGATTAAACTTTATTATGGAGAGGTGGTAGCCTCTCCATAGTTAAAGTAAAATAAAAATAATGCATAATATTTGTGTCATAGTTTTCCTCTTCAAAGTGCTGTATGGATATTAACATACAGCTATATGAAAATATTTTCCTGCAGTGCATAGTCTAACTTTAAATAGCTCTCCCAGAAAGTAGGTTTTAACAGTTGCAAAAGGCATTACAAGGCTCTGAAGACAAGAGAGGGAAGTTCTCACACCCAACAAAAAGTTTGCATCCGTCATTAGAGAACAAAATTCTGCGCTCAGTTACACCAATCCAGAATAAACTCCACTGACTTTAGTAGTGCAAGAGAGCAGATTTGAGTCAATTTCTAAAAGATATACATAAAGTGATGGTTTCTTCCACCTAGGTTATCCAAAATTCCCTCTTGGATTACAACGAAAAATAAAATCGGCACGGTGGCTTGTTTTCTTTTTGAGATATACAGGGATTTGCATAATGCAGCCCAGTGAGATATAAAATTTTGAAAGAACAGCCTGTTCAGGTTACTCAGCTCACCTAACCTTTGCACAGCAAGCCTCACAAAGAAAAAAAAAATACTGCAGACACCTGTAGCTTTGAGAAGGCTCACTTCTTCTCCCCTGCCAGCATAATGAACACAAAGCACCAAATCCATTCCTTATGTAAACAAGTGCACCAGGAACAAACATGGCCCTAGAAATTAAAAGCTCTCCTGATGCACTTTCCAATGCTAGCATATATAAAGAGATTATACGTTTCTACTTTAGCTAGAAAATAGCACATGGTCATAAGTTTTTGAAAGCTTACGAGATGAGCCAAGAAATAATAAAACAGAAACTCCCAGTGCTTATGTTACGTGACTTGTCGGAAGGAAATGCATCAAGCAAGTTAGAAACATGTAATCCTAAAACACAGGCTTTCCTGAGGTAAGGCTCCAAAACAAAAGTTGTGCAAACCTCTATTCCAAAAAACAGATAAAAGGGTTTAGAGCAGCTACTAGTCAAAGGCAAATTTCTTCGACAGAGGAAAATAAAGAAAACAGCTGGATACAAAGCAAAGCAAAAGTTACAGGACATCTATGCATTTCAAAAAGCACTGTTGGTGGATAAGCTGTCTCCTCATACTGTGCCTAATATACAAAGAAAGCTAGAAGAAAAGGGAGGGAGGGAAATTAAAACAAAAAGCCTCACCAATTGTAAAGCTAAAGCCATCAATGCTGAAAGTGGCACTCCGGCATTTTTTAAATCCTTCTTTTCTACTGCTTGGCTCTGTCATGATCCTGTCAGTTTGTACTCCAGCAGCAGTAGTTCTCCCCTCGTGAAATCAGAGCTTCTGAGCTAGCAATTAGCTGTCCTTGTATCTCTGCCTGTAGCAGCACTCACACCCGACTTCACACATCTCCTAACGCAGAGAGCTGAATCCGAAAGACATGAACCCAGCAGTATTCTCCACCCCCTAAAACTGCCGCTGGCATGTTATTGACATGCCTACTCAGAGTTTAACTACTGGTTAGAGGCTCTGGGATCCAAACTTAACAGTCAATTAGTGTAACACTCCTGAGTCAACAAGTCAATTGTCAAATTTCTGGGTAGGAGTTCAGTATACAATTAAAATAACCTGAAGTGTTAAATTTTGCTAGAATCTAAGCACTGGCATTCCTTGTATTCCATGTAGTTTTGGATATATTTTGCTTTCCACAACCAACTCTCTGTACAATTTTTCTTGAGTATGTACCCGAATATTTGGGTGCTAATATCTAAACTGTATTGTTACATTTATTCACCTAAATGTGGGTTATTGCTGATTATGCACTATATGTATCTTATGACTTTTTAAACAAACACAAGTATTTGTGGATAATCTAAGCACTATACCCAGATGCACAGACACTCTTTTCTTAACCTGTGTACTATATAATTTTCTAACATTAGCTTTAAACCCCTGCCTTTATAACTCTCCTGGTTTATGTAGGCTTCAGATGTGCAGCAAATTATAGTGCTCAAATTCCAGCCCAGTGCTTGTGGACAACACTAATGTTTTAATCCCACTCAAGGTGTAATGCACCATCAATAAATAGTTTCTTATACTGGTTGTAATCTTTGAAAACACATATATTGGCAGGAATTTAACCATTAAAGCAGACACAACTATGAGACAATACTAAAAGTAAATTACCAGGGACAATGAAGCATCCAGCAAAACCTGTGAAAAACTGAAAAGCCTTCAGGCTCTACCTTTCCTCAGCAGTTGCTACCACAAGAATAATATATTGCACTTAGCACTTTTGTCCAAGGATCTCTAAGAATTTTGAAAAATTAACCAAGCTTTGCAATACGCTGGTGAAATAAGTAAGAATTACTGCCATTTTTATGAATGGGCAAACTGGAGCAGAGCAGTTAAGAAACTTGATGATATTCGCATAGCAGGTTAATGGCAGACCAGGAATAAATAGCATGCACATGTCCTGGCAAGAACTGTACATGGTGGTTTCATTTCACTCAGGTTCTTGCAAACCCTTTTTTCCTGTGATCTTGATCGTGAATTCCCAACCCCAAAGTGCTTGGATTTCTCAGGTTATAAACTATAATAAAGCTCAGCTAAATTCACTAAGTTTTGCACAATTTTGGATGGACTCCACATAGATCCATTAAGTTTTGTAAGGTTTCCAACCAAAACAGTAACTCAGCTCAAGTTCATACAAAGCTTGGGTAAACTATGTCAAAAGATTTACAAACATCAGCAAATCTGGTCAGTTTCAGGCATAAAATCTGAAATTATGTTAGATTCCTAGGAAAATCTGGAAGAAAGGGAAAGTTTTGCATAGCTCCAGTCCTTGCTTACTCCCAGTCCGGACTTCTGACCTTTGGATTTGGTCAAATATGCCAGTGCTATCTGTGAGCACAATTCCACTGAAGTCAATGGAATTAAGTCTACTTATGCTGTGTTAAATCTAGCCCAGTGACCTCAATAGTGTAAAGTAATTCTTTGTAAACATTTAAAACTAATTTGCATGTTAAATTAATTCTGTAGGCCAAGGTTTCAGCCCAGTATTAACTAGGCCTCCATATTTGGGCCAGAAATTTTGCAGGTGCAAATAACTTGGGCATGATTTTTCAACTACAATTATGGTAATTCAGATGTCGAAAACGCCTCCATCTTTTATATGTCACTTTTCTTAGACTGTAAATTCATCAGGGAAGAGGCTGTCTCTTACTTATGTCTTGTACCCATTTTACAGGAATGGGGCTGTGATCCTGAATGAGCCTCTTGGCAGTACTGTACTATAAAATATTAAATAATAAGTACTTAGACATGAAACTTACATCAACTGCAGCTGCAATTGTGAGGAGGGATAGCTCAGTGGTTTGAGCATTGGCCTGCTAAACCCAGGCTTGTGAGCTCAATCCTTGAGGGGGCCACCTAGGGATCTGGGGCAAAATCAGTACATGGTCCTGCTGGTGAAGGCAGGGGGCTAGACTCAATGACCTTTCAGGGTTCCTTCCAGTTCTATGAGATAGGTATATCTCCATATATTATATTTAATTATTTGCAGCCACACAGTTACAAGTGTAAAATCAGCAAATTTTTAAAATCTGTCCTTGTAAAATGTGGCCACTGCAAGAAAGTCTTTTGAAGGGCAATTTAATAAATGAGGGGGCCTAACTACCTCATGAACAATGTAAAAAAAACCAGAACTAGTTTAAAATTCTGTCTCTCTGGAATCATTTTCTCTGTCACTGGTTATTTAGGTCATACACCTACATCAGTACTAACATACTGCCTAAGAAAGCAAAAGCTTGAAAAATGACTCTCAATATCAGAACCAGAATGTACAAAGTTAAATGTATCTAATGGAAAAGGTAAAAGTGTAAACCTGATTTCTTATTGGCTACTGTACTGTATTGGTTACTTTCTGCTTGATCCCATTTAATTCTTTGCACCTTACAGAATTAGTGTCTTTCAGCTCCTAGCTAGATTTCAGTTCTGGTGATTATATTCTGCCTTCCTATACCATCCCTCCAGTTTCACTTGGGGCACAGTATTCTTCACTTCCTATTCTAAACTGTTGGTAGTGTTGATATATGCTGTTAAAACAGTTTGTGTGGCTGTAATTCAGTGTTGTGTCAAGTGCTCCCTGTATAGAGTTTGTGAATCACTTTGCATGAAAAGCATTGTGTGAATGTAAAATATTTATTATTATTGCTGTAAACAGCACATTGTATCCATGGCAACATTTAACTTGTGAACACAAAAAAGCCAATTACTTTCTCCCCTCCCCCCATTACTTTTTTTGAGGGAGGAAGGGGTTGTATATATACTTATGAAGTATATTAAAACTAAAAATAATCTCAGATCAAACCTTTGATCCATCCAATATATCATCCTGCATCAGTAGCCGGTACCAGCTGCTTCAGAGGAAGTTGTAAAAAAATCCCAAAACAGACAGACAATTAGGCAATACTTTTGTCTTAGCCCCAAGCAATTAGTTTATGTCCTAAAGTCTGAGGTTTTGTATCCATTATAAGTTTTTGTCCCAGCTACAGTAACAGATAGTTTATTCACTGTCATATTAAGGTCTAATCCTTTTCTGAATCCAACTAAGTTTTTTGCTTTAATATCTTGTGAGTGAATGCCATAAGCTCATAATGTGTTATGTATAAAGATATTTCAGTTTTACAGTTCAAATGTGTTGCCTAATTTTCATTGGATGTCCCCTGCTTCTTGTATTGTGGGAAATGGAAAAATCAGAACTCGGGTGAAAACTTGGCACCACCGGAGTCAATAGCAAAATTCGCACCAACTTCATGGGGCCAAGATTCATCCTCTCACTTTTTCTTCTCAATACTATTAATACATTTTATATACCTCTATTGTATCAATACTTAATGTATTCATGTCTTACAATAACAATAATGCCTGTGGTCCTTACCACATAGCAGGTTAAATCTGTAGTAACATTATGGAAGTTAGTGGGGTTACAATGGGAGGTACTATTGTAGAATGAGGTTAGAATCAAGCCCAATGAGTTTATGCCACCATTTGTAGACATGTCCATTCTTTTTGGGTGCCTGCAACATCTGAAGCCTGATTTTCAGTGGCACCTAGAATCCACAACTCATTTGATTTCAGTGATACCTCTGGGTGCTCAGCATGGCTGTAAATCCAGCTCAAAGTGTCCATAAGTGGAGACTCAAAACTGAGGCACCCAAAATTCAGATAAAAAGATACTTTTTAAAATGTAAATTTTAATGTCAGGAATGACTAAATTCAGTCAGTCACTAACAGCTCAGAAATATGTTTCTTCATGTACCGAACCAGTCTTGCACCCCCTCAGCTCCCCCTGATTAAATCGCATTTGAAAACATTCAGCACCTCAAAAGAATGTTCAGCACTTTGCAGGACTGAGCCCTGCAAGTTGTTATCCTGTTTCATTTGAAAGGCTGGAACTTGAAATCCCTGTGAATGTCTGATGTGTTTAATTTTCAAGACGTAAAATGTGGTCACATGCCTTAAATTTGATACAGAAATGGTGATATTCTTGACTGAAAGCTTCTATGGTTTTATTGTTCCTAGAAGTACTCCCATCTGGATGCTATCAGAACATTGTCACTGTCAGGAATATTCATTAGATTTTAATTATTTTTGGTCAGGACAGCCAGAAAGCCATAGGAATTTTTTTAAAACGCTCAGGTGTTCTGTTGCTTTTCACTTGTTACAAACCTCACCATTTTCTCCTTCCAAATGGAGTATCCTCCAAAGCACTGAAATGTTCTCTTCGCTTAGGTTATTTTATATTTTCCGCTGTGTGTAGTCATTTTATGCAATTTAAAATGACATCATACCACAGAAAAAATGCAAGTGTGCATGCCAAATTCTGGACACGTGAAAAAAAACTGATTAAATTAATAATGGTCTGGATTTAATCTCAGCCATTTCATGCAGGTCCATATCTAAATGAAGACTTGTTATGTTCAGAAACAAACTGACTCCAGGTTGTCTGTAAACAGTTATATAGCAAGCTGGTGTCCAAATGCACTCTGGTGCAAGCAGTTTCATCGCTAACTTCAATAGTGACAAACTGTGGTGTAAGATATACTTCCAATAGCAATTGTCACCAAGTGGGCATAAATGACAAGTAGTATCTTGCACTGATGTCGGCATTCAGTGGGGATGCAAGATTAGTGTCATTAGAAGTAAGATAGTGGAAAAAGAGGTTGCAGCAGGAAATACAAACATGACAGCATAAGCTGAAGCACATCCCTGTGTGTATGCACACATAGTAACTTATA